TATATATATATATATACCGTGCTTAACGACATGACAAGATAAAACAATCAACCCTGTTACTACAATTAAAGTCTCTCGCGTTATTTGATTTAAAACTTCAAGATTTTATCAATTCACACGGGAATAATTCCAGTATCGTAGTACCGGTACACAAACGAGTCTCGTTGTCTCATATTCGTCGTACGGAGAAAGAAAAAGAGAGAGGAGAAGAGAGAGGCGAAAAAGAGAGAGAGAGAGAGAGAGAGAGAGAGAGAGAGAGAAAATGAGAGAAAGAGACAGAATCAGAGCGGAATACAACACGGAAATTTAATCGCAGCCGCGTTACAAGCAAATATTTCGCGATGCAACGACGTTGTTTTACTGTGCACCATATTCCGGACGAAGGAGATAATGTTAACGCGCGTCCTCGCTAGCGTCTCTTGCTGTCATTATTGTTCCACGATAAAGCGTTCTTTGTGTCCGCTCGAGTGCACGAGAAGCATGCATGCTGCCGGCGATTTGACAATACCGTAAAATTCGCGTTCGCGTGATAAAATGACCGACAGAAGATGAGCTCGAGCGAACAAGCGAGCGAGCTTTACTTCACGAGGAACGATCTATTGAAACATATATATATGCATTACTTTCTGATACGCTAGTAATTAGACGACCTTGCACTCATGCACGGATATGAGCAAAAAGTGAATCGTATATATGTGGACTTTATCGTCGAACGGATAGATATAATAATACAATTACAAGAAATAGCTCGCTAATGATAAGGAATATAAATTACTCAAAATTGGGATTGAATTTCTGCTGTGTGGCTAATTGGTCGAAAACATGCTTCCCATTCATCATCGATGACACATCACGCATAGAGTAGACTCATAATTACATTGCCATGGGAAGAAAATGTGTGGACAAAAAGTTTTCATGCGAACAGATAGTTTGATATTTTAATATGATCTCTAAACTGAAAATTTAAATTCCTTTTCAAATATTGTTGTTTCTCAAAATACAAAATTATGATGATAAATCAGTTAAATAAATAATAATGTAAATATGTTTTAGAAATTTTTAAGAAAGTATTTGTAAAAAAACAATTTGCATAATGAAGAATAATATCTTGTATAAGATATCGAGTTTAAATTTATAGTTAATGGTAGCAATTAATTGTGTGCTTTCCGAAAATATTTTCGTAAAGAATATGATCCATAAAAGATTTTACGAAAAATACGTTTAAAATAAACACAGAAATTAGCAATTCAGACAATGAAAAATAGAGATGTATCTTAGAATGCCAAGTTGTGATTAATGATCATGATTAATTCATGTGAAAGCTGCTTTCGTAAAAACAGTTTAAGCTGATGAATTAAAGCTGATAATAAAAAAAGCCCGATTTACAAGTAATCGAAAACGCTTTAAACTGTTTTTAACAACGGAGAACTACCGATGAATCCTCTGGGTACGAAGTCCTTGGTCGCACGTTGAATAATTGACGGAGAGCATAAATAATTGAAGGTGCCTTTTAGCGAACGCGACCTTAAACTTACTCACTCTACCGTATAACAAGAGAGACGACGAATAAGACATGAAACGATGAAAAAAAAAAGCATCCCGGTCGGGGGTGTAAAAGTAATGGCCGTAAATACTGTCGGAAACATAAGGGTGCCATTTCCAAGAAAAAGACGCGCGCGGTTATGAAAATACTTGGAAAATGGAAAGGCAATGGCGAAGCATAGTTGAAGGCCAACGTGCCGTATTCTCCTTGAGAAAATTGCAACGAATAAAAATGCACGTTAAGTAAGTAGCAACAATCAGTTTCAGCAGCAATATCGCATTTATTCCACAATACAATAAGCTAATAATAATAATGAACACAATTGTGATAGAGAATTAATGAAACTCTGGATACAAAAGTACTTCGTTAAGTATCTGTTAATGAAAAATCGAACTGCCTCTCTCGCGCAAATTGCCGATTAAAATAAAAACTATTATCGCGTAATAGCGGCAGATTGTCATAATTATGTAATATACGCGGAATAATTGGTCAAAATTAATCGCATCAATAATTTTCTCTGTACTAGAAGCTATTATTAAGCGCAATATGTAGGAATGCACGAAAAATTCACTTTCGCAAACGAATTTGATGTGACAAAATTGTTGCATGTAAATTCTTTATGGAACATAAAAGAGCTTTCGGTTCCATTTCTATCACTTTTCGTTCGCCGTTTCGTTTCCGGTTTTAGTCGTTCCCTCTGTCCTCTCTCGCGCGGCAGGATCCGACAATCCGACGATGGTCTCTCCAATGAGCTTAATCCAACCCATTAAACGAATATCATTTTCATTTTCATCCCACAAAATGTCTGCCTATTCGTCTATGCAGCGAATCCTCGAACGTTCTATTAGAAACGTAAAAGGTACTTTCGATTACAATCATAATCGACATTAGATCGCTCGCAATTTCTCGGGGATTATCCCTCGATGAAATCGCGCTCTTCGTCGCCCAGATTTTCTCGCAAATTTGTAGTCGGGATAACGTCACATGGCGAACATGCAAAAAACTGAAAAACTAGTTCGAGACGAACGCGCTAACGCGCGCACGCTCGAGTTTAATTCCCTCTGGGAATCATTCCTCTAGTAATCGACAAGCCCACACTCAGTGCGAGAAAAAGGAGACAAGGTCAGGAACGTGACGCGTGAAAATGTCTGGAGAGTACGGAAGACGGAAAGTCTACCATAGAGAGATTGCTCAAGCGTAACTAAAGCAGAAAATATGAACGGAATAAAGATGCGCGTTTGCTTGAAAATCGAAAGAAAGGGCGCCATCGCCCTGTATAGTTCTTCCTGATTCCCGCAGAGCTTACCTCCTCACGTTTTTCACGAAATGTGCAAAATTCTCATGAAAGAAAATTCCAATGTCCTTTGGGATCCAGTAGAATTACGACAATGATTCGATCTGCGGCGACCTACCTACCCATTTGTGAATTTTATGTTTGTCGAACATGTCGAACACGTTGGATAGATAAGCCGTCACGATAGAAGAGCCAATTACATTTTCCAATGCAATCGTCTCGGGAGATCAACATCGAATTTTACGGAGATGATCATAACTTTTAAAAGGATCCAAAGCTAACAATTTTTCCGCATGATGTGTAATTTGGAAAAGTCAACAAATATTTCTCAGCAAGATTTTTCGTAGAAAGAGATTGAAACTTGAATTTCAGTACTCTCCGTATATCTTCTGTTCCGTAAATTCCTTCAAGATACGAACGATAAAGATAGATTTAGATCGGAATAAGAAATACAATACGGTGGTTGATAATCTCTACTTGGCGCCGTGTTTCCAAAAGTAACCTTGGACAATGAGACAGGAACAAAAGGAGAAGTTTGAACAGAGGCAGGATAGAACGAATGGAGCACAAGACATTAATGCATAAGAATGACAGAGCTAAAAAAAAATATCGCATACAACTTTTTTCTTTCATCGGCCTATGTCACGCTTTTATAGTTTCTATTCTCTATTTTTATCATTCAACGAATACGTGCTTCATATTTTCGCACTGCAATCCTATCACATGGATCGTTCCTAGTTTTATCTTCATCTTTATTTATAAAAAAATAAATTACAATACAAATTTGTTTTAACATGATACGATTCGATATATTTATATGCACTGTAATTAATATAATTTTCTCTTCCTCTCAGAATACAAGATTTAAACAGAATCGATTAGGCAGAACAGTGAGATAATTAATGAGCGCGACATACGTGGCCTCGAGCGACGAATGCGAGATACCTATCTCGCGTGACTCCTTTGTAGAAATCAAAGCCGTAGAAAATCGCGACGTATTTCGCGATCGACTGTTCGATACACTAGAATATTATCGGGCGACATTCCGACGTCACGACGAAAACTGCAACCGGCGAAAATAAATGAGGCAACGAATGCATCTCGCCAGCAACATTCCAATAACGTGGCTCGATGCGAGGCTATATCGATGCGCGTTGCAAGCCTCGCGAAATTATCCATGTCGCTTTTCCTTCGATTCCATCTGCCGCGCAGATGTATAGAACGGTCTCTGTTCGATATATCGAACGTGCATCGTTTACGTGCATGACACGTGACGAGTTCGAGCGGAGCGGATAATCCCGCGCAGTCATCTAATTTGTATGCAAGGGCAAACACGTATTAGCACGCGCCAGAGTGGAAAATCCAACAGAACCGATAGCTCGATGTAAATTCGCGGGAACACTCGATAAAAGAAAAAAGCTGATTAAAAGAAGAAGTACGTGACTTTCGTTTAGATCAATGATCTTCGCGACGTATCTCTTGATGGAGCAAAACGGAAACGATTAGTGTATCATGAAATTAAGATTTCTTCATGTTTATAATAACGACGTTATTCGCGGCAATTAGCGAGACCGGGCGTGCACATTGCGAATAATTAGTATAGTTAGACTGCTTGCAATTATAGCTATTCGATCCCTATTAGAGGGATTCCTCCTTCCCGATATACTACGCTGTACTAGATTACACTCGAATGTTACACTGAGAAAAAATTGTTCACTTAATCTAAATTGGTTCGTTTGATTAAATTAAATTATTTCTTTCGTTAGAGAATGTGTGTATTTAAATCAAGTATAAGCATGTTTGACTTGAATTCATATATTCTTCATCGAAAGAAATAAGGACGAACTAAATTAATTTAGTCCAATAATAAATTTGTTTTCTCAATGTATTGTACTATATTCTTTCTTCTTAATAATAGCAAAAATTAGTCTCTCGGAGAAAGAAAGAGAATGCTAATATCTCGATTGTCTCTTGGTTTCAAAAATATTGTTTTCTTCCTTTAAATAAAAAATAATCTACGATTAAAAAAATATAACAATCTACAATATTTGACACACACAATTTCGCTTTTTTTAATGTTCGTGGAATAAATTTAATATTTATATGATTTTACAGTTATGGTTTTTTTATATACGTAACTAAATTAAATGTAAATATAAATATAGATAGTTAAACACTGTCGAAATAAGTTTCTGACAAAAGATTATTTCTATTCGCAGGAATTAATCCTAACTACAGAGGGGGACAGACGGCTGAGTCCACACACCAGCAGGATAGTAGTGAGCAACTGTTCATCCGTGATGCTTGCGAATTCAAGTCTGATCTCGATGACTGGACTACGATCGGTGGATCTAGTGAACGTGGCGAATTTGACTCTAGTCAGACAGAGTTTCGAACTATCGCCGTTCAGCATGCGTACGCGAATCTATGTGCGAAACAGCAGCATCGACGTAATGCCGAGCTTCGTCTTTCGCGGCGACATCGAGGCGATCACGTTCGAGAACGTACGGATCGGCCAGCTGAGTGCCTTCTCGTTCGCCAATTTGATTCACACGGAAAACCTACGGCTGGAGAACTGTCGTATTGAAACAACGGAGGCACAAGCCTTTAAAAAGTTCGAGGTCGGCTATTTACACGTGATAGGTGGTACGTTCGGCGATCAGATGCCGAGTCGCACTATGAACGATATCGAAGTCTATCATAAATTCATGTTGGATGGCGTGAAAATGGGCGTTGTGAGGAGCAACGCTTTCATAGTAAAGAGTCCACGCACGGTTGCGATACAGAACTGCATAATCGACAACCTGGAGAGCGAGGCTTTCGATGTGACGGCGCAGGGCGCCGTTATCATTAAGAACAACACCTTCGGTAGCATCAGCGTGGGTGCGTTTCTAGGTATTCGCGCGGATCGCGAAACTAGATCGCCGTCGTCGTCAGCGTCGTTGACACACGATCTCATTTTCAAGAACAACAGCGTAAGCAACTTCGAAGAGGGTTCGCTGATGTTCGATCGCACGAGTTTCCGACCAGAGCTTGATAATCTCATCATCTCGCTACCATGTGACTGCCAGATGTTACCCGTGTGGAAGAACTATGTGCTCAACTACACGAACGTCTATTCGCGGTTCTACGCGAGAGAAAATTTGTTTGTGCCGCCCCAATCGCAACCCCAGGAGCCCATCAACGAGACTCCGGAAACTTTCCTATGTTTGGACGGCGGAATAGACGGTACGCCGATCAGCTTCGTCGATTACGAGGGACGTCACTGTTCGCTCGGTGGCTCCACGCTCGTCTTCATCCTAATCATCGTGGGTGCTATTCTCGCCCTGATAATATGCGTGTGTTTGATCGTCTGGTGCTGTCGAAGGCGCCGACAAAACAACAGAAAGAAGTGGATCAGTGTGCCGACCAATGCACCTGACGTAGTGTCGAAGAAGAACGGCGTAATCGGCAGAGAGGCCGCAACGTCCGGCACGCCGGTCGACAGCAGGATAACGATGGTTGTACCAGACGGCAGATTATATCGAGAAACGGAGTTTCATGTGATCGTCGAGAAGGCCGAGCCGCTTACGACCGAATTGTAACGAGACGCCCCAGGCGGCTCGACGAGGAGGCCTACGATCGTCCCTCCCGTTGAAGAGGAACTCGAGTGGGCGGAAACGTCGAGCCGCTTTAGAGTGTACAAGCTATGAAAGCTATGAAAGACGTCGCGCAATTGGCGCCAGTGAAGAACAGTAAAAACCATAAAAACTTAGATCCGACGTGCTCATAGAATGTGAGAATAGTTCTTCCAGTGGAGGAAGGAAAATTCCTCGCATCTTAATTGCGTGCGTATTATAGACTGTGTAAACTATTGCCGCTTAAGGTAATGAAAATGCAAAATATATGCAGACCCAAATCGTTTTTAATTTATATAACTGATTGTTTTCAATTTATATAACTGATTGTCTCTTCTAGTACAACACAGTTCGTAAGCTTCCATTCACATATCATGCGATGGCCGATTATTCCAATCGCGCACTCTTCTCATTCCTCGGACTGACTTTTACTTCGAGAAGGCAGTCATAGAAATTAAAGTTTTTTAGAATGAATCGCGAATTTGGATAATCAGTCGCCGCAGTTAGTTAAGTTTATCATTAAACTTTCAAAAAAGAGAAAAAAAGAATAAAGTGAGACCCTCGTCGAAGCGATGCGATTTAGGAAACAAAAAAGAGAGTGAGAAAGCATAACTCATGTAGAAAAAACTAAATTTGCTGTCTTGTGCAAGATACGCGATTGGACCGATCTTTCGCATTGCTTTAAGTTCATCGATCGATAGCATGGTTATCGACGAAACATTAGTGAGCGTTTCGAGCGAAAAAACACGGTACGAAAGGACCAAAAAAATGGGATAATCACTCGCTCGGACAGCTGTGCCATTCCTGAAGTGACACAATTCGTACATAATTCGTGTTCACTTCACAAAAATTTTGATCTCTCAAATACAAGAAAAACAGTGAATGAAGATGATACACTTCACTAAACTTTCATATCAAAATCGTTCCAAATTATCGTTTTTATATAGAAAATTGATAGCAATGTAACTGATTAAAGAGCGAAAATAAATCAGCAAAATTAATTTATTATGCCAAAACATACTCCACATTTCTCATATCAGTGGCGAATTTATAAGTTAATAGCAAGTATCATTTTATAAATTTATGACAAGTGTTTTCAATTTCTCTTTCAATTTTGAAGTTTATTATTTTTTTATAAATAATAATTTTATTAATTAAAACAAAATTATTCTTTTTAAGATACGTCTTTTAACATATGTGTCTTTCTATTAATTTTATTAAATATAAAAAATTTATGTATCTTTTTTTATTCATTTTTGTTAAAAGAATTCCTTGGATAAAAACGTTAGCTTCAAGCTCTTGAAAATATAAATCCGTCACTGCTTCATACACGCTTTCGAAAAAAGTGAAATCCGTCAGACCGTAAATTAATTTTTTTTAAAAGACAGTAAATTAATTTTTTAATGTATTGTATTACAAATTCGTTATCACATTATTTTATTAATATCTTTGCATTTATTTAAATGCAAAGATTTTCTATGAATCTCTCTTTGCGATATAAGGAAAAACTATTGTTACTGTTATTATAATTTATATTTAATTTTAAGTAAGTCATGATAATCAAAATGTTACGTTGTTTCACAGAATTTGCTGTGTGTTAATGTAACGCTGGAAAAAAAATTTCAGCGAAACAGGTGATCTTATAAAACCAAAATTGTACATCCCACCATATAGCAATATTCTTCGATGCGTTTGAGCTGTGCGTGTAATGAAAGCATTTTAAAGGACTTGATTATGAGCGAACGTATTCCTAGATCATAATTGAATGAAAATAAATAAACATTTTCCTGTCCCTTTCCTCTTTAATTAAAAGGAGGCATGTATCGCGATATTGATCTAATATTTTGATAATCATAAAAAAGGCATTCCGCCAATTACAAAAGAAGAAATAAAATAAAGCTTGTCGGAAACTATAATATATTGTACGACTAAAATTGATTTATTGAACAGAAGGCCCAAACACTCGAAGCACTTGAAGACGGAGGTAAGCAACGCTTCGTCTCGAGCACATGAAAGAAGAGAATTAAGCCTCGGAAAACTTTTTGTGCCTCTTATACTCGATAACTCGATCTCTGCTAAGGTAGGTTTTATTAGCATCCTGCTCTGATCGAAAGATCAGAGTCTAATATACAGCAACGCATGCAAACTATATGCGCAGGTATGTATGCGTGTATACGTGTGAAATTATATCGTTGTGATCAATAAAATCAGTTTATAACGTTATACATAATTATAATTATCGTGAGACTGTGATATAACGACAGCCGACTGTATAATTTGTTTCGCATTGAACAACCGAAGATACAATAAAGACGATATCAATAATATATTTGCTAATCGTATTAAGATTGTTTTCCAAGAAGATTATGTTAATATTCCTTTATTTAAAAGGTTTTTTATATCATTTTATGAAAAAAAATTTATTTATTTTTAATATCCGTGTTTTAAAAATAATTACAAATAAAAGCAATCGTGTAGCTAACGATAAAATGTAATAAGTCTTCAACGATTAAATATAATAGGTCACATAAGATTCTAATTAACCAGAAAATGTCTATAAATATTTTATGTTTACGTTTATGTTTTACGTTTATATTTAAAATGTACGATTTTTTCATATATGCCACCGTGATAATCGGGATTATACGTATCAAGTTGGATAATAGACATCAGATATTTATACGGATTTTTGTTCTATTTACATAGTATTGTTTCAGACAACTTACTATATCTAAACGAACGAATAAAACACCGTTTCACTACAATCTTTCCACAATAAAAAAGAAACTGTATGCATCAGATATATCGATTGTAAAGTAAAAGACATGAAATTTTTTACATGTAGAAAATATAACAGATGTAATAATAATATATGAATTAATGTTTCATGAGATAAGAATACTGTACATTCTATCAAACTTTTATTACAGCTACACAGTTTCCCTTTTTTTAAAAATCAAAACTGATGTTAGGTACTCACCTGTATGGAAGCACGCCGTCGAGAGCCTGCGAAATTGTAGGTGGCGACGCAAGTGCGAATCCTCGTCCAAGTAATGCCGAATGTACAGAAAAAATCCTCTTTGCCGTTTCCTGCATCGACTCCAAGTCCTCTTCAACTTCTTCCGCTGGAAATTGTAGTATCATAAATTAATTTACTGAAAGAAACATAATATTCTTTGTATAACTGAGATAGTCGTCTTTTCGAAATGGAAACTGGATTAATCAGAAGCATATTACACATTATATATTATACATTAAAACATTTTAAAGAATATACGTTTTACAAACATATTTATATTGATTTATTAATATAGAACAAAAATTCCATCATGTTATACTTACAGGAAACTGGAGGTAATGATAAATTTTTCTTCATGAGACTTGCAGCGCATGCTCCTCCGAGGAAAGACAATTCAATCTCCAAATTCTTTAAACCATGGCCAGATGTTATCCAATCATAACCAATGACTAAGCATTTGAAACCGTAAGTAATTGAGCTTTCATTTTTCATATAATCAGATGCAGTTTCCAAGGAAAATATCACTTCATTTCCTAAACACCAAATTTATTGAGCATTATGTATTATATAGCATAATATTTAATATTTATAGTATTTTTAATTAATATTGCATTTAACATACCTGGTAACACAACAGCATTTTGCGGCCATTGACTTTGAACATTACTCAACTTATGTAATACTGGCCAATGCAGAGGGATATCTTCACTCATACTTGGAGCTGTTCTGTAAAAGTAAAAATTAAATATAAACATAAAATATCAGAATATACTTGTATTTTATATGAAAGTGTGAAAGTATTTTACCCTACGGAGGAGTTGCGAATTATATGTGGTATATAAAGTTGTAAATAATCTTCTGGTTGTGAAGTTCCACATTCTGGAGTAAATTCGACGGTTAGCCACTTTACTGTTTCGGGAAAAGTAACTTTGTAATACGATACTGTCGCCGGTTTATAAGGATGTTCGCTTTCTAACCAAGTATAATGATGACTAGTAGTAACTGGAGGAGCAAAGTGTGATTGAGTTTCACTATCTTGGGATATTTGAGAAGTTCCCATTGTGGACAGTAAGTTCAAAGCTGCAACGTGTGGCAACATCTCTTGTATTAGAGTAAGAATTTGTACACTGCTCTGAAAGACCAAAATATATATGTTAAATATTTCTCTTATTATTACATCATCTAAGATGTTCGTATTTAAAAAAGTCTTTAGAATTACTTACTCTAGGATCTGATGTAGCTAAGGGACTAATGTGTGCCATTACTAGCGGTAAGAGAGTCGTTACAAAAGTTGCGTTACCAAGGACTTCATTAGCTATCACTTCTTCACCTCTTTCCCTTGCCAAAGAAAAAATTTCATTCGATCGTTGAATGATCGTTGCGGTCATGGCAAGAGTACATTTTCTCGCTTGCACTTCAGCCATAGCTTTATTCGTGTGTTGCCCATCAGAATCTTGCGGATTTGAATAGTACAAAATATGTGGTATTTGACCTCTAGTTTGTGTTGTACCTGCAATATTACACAATTACATTAATATAAGCTAATATTATAAAAATAAAATTTTTTTTAATATACAGATTTTTTTTAATGTACAGATTTAACGCACCATTAAAACTTAGAGAACAAGCGGTAAAAGTAAACGTTGTGCCATCGGCTCCTTTGACAATGCTTAGACCACCGTCACCGTTACTAGTACGTCCTCCACGATTTCGTAATCTAATAGCATACTTAATGTTTTCTTTTATGAGTACTGGTTTGTCAAATTTCAATTCTACTATGTCATTAATGCAGTCATCTGGTCCGAAAGATCCTCTTGTAAAATCTAAACTACTCCAACGCTGAGTATGTGATGGATCGTTACCAGTGTTATTTTGCTATTA